GCAGTGAGGGGGACACCAGGCTGCTGCAGTGAGGGGGACACCAGGCTGCTGCAGTGAGGGGGACACCAGGCTGCTGCAGTGAGGGGGACACCAGACTGCTGCAGTGAGGGGGACACCAGACTGCTGCAGTGAGGGGGACACAGACTGCTGCAGTGAGGGGGACACCAGGCTGCTGCAGTGAGGGGGACACCAGGCTGCTGCAGTGAGGGGGACACAGACTGCTGCAGTGAGGGGGACACCAGGCTACTGCAGTGAGGGGGACACCAGACTGCTGCAGTGAGGGGGACACCAGGCTGCTGCAGTGAGTGGGGGCACCAGACTGCTCCTGCAGATGCTCTCTCCCCTACTTTCTTTCTTCTCAATTACTGAATAGCTAAAACTAACAACAAAACTTAGAATTCTGGCTCTCATCCTAGATTTTCACCTGCTCTCAAGGTCATGGCTGTCTGCCTCTATATTGCATCTCCCGAGAAGCAGAAAGGAAAAGGGGAAAATGTATTAGTGGATTTCGGAGTTTGTTTATAACCTCCTTTGTCTCTTTCCTAAGCTTGAGCTGGGAAGATTTTGAGATTTGCAAAGTTCAGAATACAAAGAACTTGCTTTTTCGTTTGCTTGTATAGTTTTAAATTATAACTCCTTTGACTTTGACTTTATGTAAAATGTTGCATGCGTCCATGTGGGAACTGTCTCCAAACAAACGCATGAGGCTGACAGGCCCGCCCTCCCTCCCTCCCTCCCTCCCTCCCTCCCTCCCTCCCTCCCTTCCTCCCTCCCTCCCTCCACAATCTTGCAAACATCTCCATTTTTGGTAAATAGTGAATTGGTTTGTAGCACTATCTTTCTTTCTGAGCTTCAAATAGCTTGCATTTGGTAAGATTAAGCCTGTCCCAGCATACCTAGCAGAGCAGTCGGCTGGCTTACAATGTAGCCCCAGGGACAGGGAAGGACCGACTATTCTGATCTGTGTGGGTCACTCTGAGCAGTTTGCAGGGCTCCCAGCTAGTGTTGGCAGCCCTGCTGAGGAGTGGGCTGTAGTGCTTTTCATGGGGCTTCTCCTTTATGTTCTGAGAAGGGCACAGCTTCTGGGAGCAGCTTAAGGGCTGCATTTAGTACTAACTGCAGCCCATCTGGAAGCTATTCAGAACCAGACAAGTCTCTGACAAGACATACTGCCTAGTTTAGTAATGCAGAGGGGAAAGTGACCATAAAATGTATTTATCTTGCCCCCCACCTGATGGCAGGGTTGTAATTTTGTCATGGACTTTTCTTAAATCAGAGACCTTTTTTTCCACCCCACAAAGTAGCTTTAAATCTAGTACGCATTAGCTGTAGGTCTCAGAAAGTACAGTAAGAGCCATGTATGGCTCCTGTCCCCCTCTTTGCTCTCTTGTGCATCCCCTGTCAGAGGGGCTACAGTAAGATGCTAAGATGGTACTCAACCCCTCCCCAACTACATACCATGAGCCTGGGACTCCATGAGCCTATAATTTCATTTTTCATTGGGGTTATATCATATTACCAGATTAAGTAGCCACCTCTGGTTTTCATTTTATATTCTTGTAAAGAGGTTTTTTTTTTTTTTTTTTTTTTTACCTCATTTCTGCTTTTGAAATACTTAGTCCCCAGGCATTCTGGGAGGGAAATAACTGAAGAGGCTTCTTGTTAACTCTGTACTAATCGGAGGCAAGCCACTGTAGTTTCAGCTACAGGGCTTGTTTCATGAGCAATGAGATCATGCCCTGTCCCCTAGCAGCCTCTCAGATTTTGTGTAATTAAGTCAGGCCTGGAGGTAAGAAGGAGTGTCACCACTTCCATACTGCCAGATGCAAAGGGACACTTTTCTCCAATGTGGAGTCCCCCTGGAACCTAATCTGGACCACTTCATCCCCTGATGTAAACAAACCACTTAAGATTTTTTGGGCTCCATTTGGGGCTTTCTATACTTGGTGTTAGTGTTGTGCTTATTTCTCTCCACAAGTTGAGGTATAGAGGAACTGAGGTGGAGCACCAGTAGGATAGGAGGAACTGCTTAGCACTGACCCAGTACTGGCCCAACCTGTATTTCTGCAGTGAGAAGTTATATTAATATCAATGACTAGCATTCAGAATATCAGTTAGCTGTTCATGGAACTTAACTGTCAGTTTTCAAAATTATTATGTTAAATAAGAGCTCTCACCTGGCCAGCTGGAGAAAGTGACTTTATCTCCCAGCCTGTCCCTAGATAGCTAGCCTCCCCTCCTAGTCCTCCCTCCTTGTGTGTGCTCCCACCTCCCCTGCTGTGTTCATCCTTCCTTACCTGGGCCATCTTCTCAAGCTTGGCTTTTATATCGGCAAGCTCTAGCTGGGCCTCCTGAAGCTTTGTTTTCAGTTTTTGGTTTTCGGTCAGGGCACTCTCGTAGAGCTGTGAAGGGAGCAGAACCAGGTCACTGGTGGGCTCCTAGGGGAAGAACTCAATTTCTGCTTCAAGCCACCACGATCAACTAGGTGCAGAAGAGGGGGGGGGTCTGTGGAGGGTCACTGCTCTCTGGCTTCCAGGCCGTGTGCTCTCAGGTGCTGGACACAAGGAGAGGGATGGTGAGCTCCACTGTCAATGAAGCTAAACCCTGGGAGGGAAGCCACACGGCCATGTCCCCCATGTGCCTCTGCACTGCATGGAGTGTAGCTTTGAGACACAACAGAATTATTGTTTCTGGAGCCTGTTTGCTGATTTTTGTCAAATTCTGCTTAACAAAAAAATCAACCAAGAAAAATTTCCTTAATCAAAATGTTTTGGTTCCCATCACTCACTGCATCTCAGGCACCTGAAAGGGAATGTTTCCAAAGTCCAACTAGCAAGAGCCAGGAGAAATGGATGGTAATTTTTAAAAACTAGCACTAAAAAGTATTTGGTTGATATTCAAAACACCTTATTAAAAGCACATGTTTCTTAAAAATAAGTCTAACCAAGTAATTCCCATGGGCTCAGACACATAGCATTATGCTTTTTATTATTTTTTTTAAAACAGTACATTTCTTACTTTCCCCTATACTTCTAAATATTTGACTCTAGGCATGTACTTACTGCAATAAAAACAATATACAAATAGTCTTTGGTGGGTAGAGAGGTGAAGCAACAAAGAACACTTCAGAAGTACCTTTTGTATTCCTTATTCAGAACTTTGCTTGTTTTTTTCCTACTGGTGGGAAAGACTAAGAGGTTTATATAGCATAAGCCAAGAACAGGAAATTGGAAAGAGATCCTACTTTTTTATAATCTCTGTTGCTGTCTTCTTCTACTCGGCTGGTCAGGCTGGCTAGACGAGCCTCCCTGGCCTCCCGACGGGCTCTTGCTGAGGCACGGTCACTGTAAGAATCACTGCTGGTTGGGTTGGTTCCTCCTGACTCCAACCTATAAGATAAATGTTGAAGATAAAAGTTGGTTTTGAGAACAAAGTGTGTGTGTGTGTGTGTCTGTCTGTCTGTCTGTGTGTATGTGTGTGTGTGAGAAAGAGAGAGAGAGAGACTAGTCTGTGCCTTTCCTAAGAGGCTGAGAACTCTGGCCAGACACTTGCCTTCCTTGAATCTCTAGCCAGCATGTAGAAGTATCATGGCCACACTGTCAGTGTGCATATGAGCAATAACGCAGCTTGGGGAGAGAGGCTATCATTTGCCAAGAATGAAGCTCACTTGAAAAACTGGTGGCTTGGACCATATGCTGCTTTAAATCTTTGAGCTTTCAAATTAACTGGGAGTTGAACAGCTTCCCTAAAGAGTATGTCTTTAAACGTCAAAGTTTCTTGGGTCTGAAGGGCTCTTGAAAAATGATAACAGTGAACAGTCAATGACTCAGAAACACGAGTTTGGAGAGTGAGCCACTGGAGAGAGAGAAGGAATGGAGACCACAGCAGGACACTTGGGCTTTTGGGTGCACAATGGGTTTGCTGGAGTCAAATACCCCCAAGTAGCCCATTTTCTCCCCTGTATTCCATGTCAAGACTTACGCTTATAGCTAAGATTTCTATGTCTGGCAGGTGAGCTTCTAGAGTTGTCGGTGGCTTTACTTCCAGCACTGCTAAGTGTACAGGAAGGAGTCTCTGAGCTAATTATCAGCGCAGTGTCCTGGTCCTTTTAACCCTTCAGACCAGCTTATGTTTTCCTGCTCTCTGCTCACTCCTGGGTAGTACATACAAAGCGCTGTAAACAAACCAACCCCGGAGACCACTGTCCCCTGGACTGTTTTGGTTTGCAGCATCACAGCTGTGAGACTGTCTGGTTTCTGTGGTGGTTTCGGGCAAGGGAGGAGCTGAAGTAGGCACTGAGAAGGGCAGAGGAGCAGGAGGAGCAGAGAGTCCAGGAGGGCAGTAAGGCAGGAGGAAGGTCGCAGCTACACAGGAAGCTAGGCCCTTTTCTCTTAGAGATGCCAGGATCTGTGTTCCTATTGCCCTCCCCCACTACCTGTTCACAGAAATCTCTGCATTGGTGATTTTTCTGACTACAAAAGCAATACGTGAAGTAATACCAAAGCATCTACCCCATAATCTTACCCAAGAAATAACCGTTATTAAGAGTAGATTTCATATACTTCTGTAATGTCAAATACAAAAATGTTAAGATACACATTCCTATAAAGCCAGATAAGACCTACATTATTTAACTCCTCCCTACACTTATGATTCTGTGAGCAAGTACCCATAAAAATAAAAATAAATATACTGCCTCCTTAAAAATGACTATACAGCTCATTCCTTGGTTATAAGGTAATTTAACCATATTTCAGGTGATATACTGCTTCAAAGTTGTTAGCTATTAACATATCTATTAACAACACTAAAATGTGCAGTCCTATTTATAAGTCTTGGTTCAGTTGGCCAATCACTTCCTTTCTTCCTTCCTTCCTTCCTTCCTTCCTTCCTTCCTTCCTTCCTTCCTTCTTCCTTCCTTCCTTTCTTTCTTTTATTTATTTATTTGGTGGTGGTTGTTTTCTGTTTGAGACAGGATCTCACATAGCCCAGAACAGCCTCACATTTGCCATGTAGCTGAGGCTGACTCCTGATCCTTTTGAATGCTAAAATACTGATGTGTGCCACTTGCCACATTTTTAGAAAAATATTTAGAAATGTAAATATGTGATCAAGGCTAACTGTATTTTGAACACTTATTTATGTATAGCTATTCTGCCTTCCAAAGAGACTTATCTCATTCCATCTGTCCTGGTTTGCTTTCTATAGCTGTGATAAACACCATGACCAAAAGCAACTTGGGGAGGGAAGGGGTTAATTTTAGCTTATAGGTTATAGTCTATCATTCAAGGAAGTCACAGCAAGAAGTTGAGGCAGGAGCTTCAAGAAGAATCTGACAGGGAACCCAGGTCTCCCTGTCTAGGGATGTCACCACCCACAGTGGGCTGGGCTCTCCTACATCAATTAGCAATCAAGAAAATGGTCCACAGACATGTCCAAAGACCAATCTGACAAGGATAATTCTTCAACTAAAGAGGGAACTCTTGTTTCTGGATGGCTTAGTCACACAGTGTAAAGTGTGCAGCTTTCTCTTGTCACACCTTGGTTGGATGCTCTTACACAGCAGGGCTTTGACAACTGTCTAACACTTCTCACAAACTTTTCACTTCACTTTACTTTTTGATGTTTATAGAAACTCTTTTCATTTTCTTTATTTTAGTTTCTTTGAGACAGGGCCTTGTATTGCCTATGATGGTCTATGACTGCCTATGCAGTCCAGGCTGACCTTGAGGACCTGATCCTCCTGCCTCAGTCTTCCAAGAGCTGGACTAGAAGTTTGAGTCACCATGCTCAGCTGTGTACAGTTACCTTTTAATAACAACAGTGTAAATTTCCATAGTGAGACTCGATACCTTATAATCTTTAGGGTACTATTTGGGAAGATGCTTCCTATATACAGATAATAAAATACTGTCTTGTGCTACTTTTGTAGAAAGGGCCTTTCTCTTTAAAAATGTAACTATTTGAAAAATATTTCTGTTGTTTTCTTTAGTATGGATTGAAGGAAAAATGTATTTTCTCAAAACAAGCGAATAAACCAAAAAACCAAATTGGACATTTTCTCAGTTAGGTACTTTATATCTGCCCATGAGATGCAAATTCACACTATACATCTGACTTTTGAAGATATTACAGTGTGGACGGTGTTCTGTCAATCTCTTTGCTTAGTTTACTTTTGATACATACATTTATTTATGTATGTGCACATATGTGTGTGAGTGTGGAGGTCAGAAGACAGCCATTAGGAATTGGTTCTTCCCATCTGTCATGTGGGTCCTGGGATACCACTCAGTTGTCAGGTGTGGTGGCAAACCCCTTTCCTAGTCAAGCCTTCTCACCAGCCCTCTGGCCTTACTCTTGGACTGGTACACCAGTAATTTAATCACGACAATTTTGTGATATATTTTAAAGTCTGCAGAGAAAGTGTGCTTCAGTGTAGCCACTGAAACATAACTGAGTTCTCTTAAAGATGAGATATAGCAAAATACTTCTCTTTGCATGTTGCAAAGCAAAGATATTTTATACTACTTGGCAAGTAAATTATTCATTCTTGGCTGGTACTTGATAAGAAGGTAGATAGAGGAAGAATACATATAAATCTTAGCATATATTAACAAGTTTAAATTAGCTCAACTACCAAACAGACTTAGAGACCAATTTCCCTGTGATGTCCTAGAACTACATCTGTTTCTTATCCCATCTCCTTGTAATTTCTCTGTCACAGGAACAGTAGAGAAGAAGAGATTAAAATATTTAGTTCCAAAGATGCAATTATTTTTATTTTCTTCTTTAAGAAGATCAGTTTTGTACCTTAGATACTGTGTGAAAAAATTATTAATTTATTTTAGTAATTGTAAACCAGCTTTTTGGTTCATGTGATAAATTATCCATAAGCACTGTTTAGATATAAGATACAGGGCTAGGTTCATTATAAAGTGACAGTCTCAGCTCATGGTCTCCTTGGTAACAATCTTGTCTTCGGAATTATCACATTAGGTTAACTGCTTCTTCCCGCACACATAATACCTGCTTGCCTGTCAAAATGGCACTTTCTGCATTTCTGAAAGGATCTGTTGTTCCAGTAGATTGTACACTAGCTGCAGGTAAGGGCAGTGCCTCATGCATTCAATCTCCTGAGTGCCCACAGGACCCAGTACTGATGCTTCAGGACAACCCATCAGTTGGAAGTATACACAGTGAACTTGAAGAAGAGAGTTGTGGCAGGAAGGCGGTTGAAGCTGTTTTATAACACTGGGCAGGAGGTAAGTCTGACTATTATGGTGACTGGAGAAATGAAAACAAAGGATACAGAGCATGCTACTAAACTATTACATAAAGCTAAGTTTAACTAGGCATTCATTCTCTCACAAGAATTAAGTATGCATATAAAACAGTTCTTACCTAGAAAGTCTTTCATGCTAGAGAAAGGAGACAAAAACAAAAAGAAAAGAACATTAGCAAGAGACTAATTTATACATCCATTAATAAGTTGAACTTTTCAGATCATATGTCTCAGCTTTCTAGTGGAGACAGGAGCTGCTAATTGAACTGACACCGCTCAGGGCCGCTTGGCTCTAACTCACGTGTCTTTGTACCACACCTCATCGGGCCTGAGGCTTTGGAGATGGTGTCCTTTCATATGGGAAGACCCCAAAATAGGAAGTGATCAAATTCCCCTCTCCATCAACTAGACTACCAAGCTTGTGCTGTAGGAGGGACTGTCACTGGCTTTCGTTTTCCTGTGACACAGAGCCATGTGATGTACAATCTCCATCCTATTAATTCCCTTCAGTATCCTAGCCACCCCAGCTTTCCCTGAGTAAACAGTGCAGTTCATATACAAAACCTTAGGTCAGCTGCTGGCTTCCTCCCAGATCACAGGAAAGGGGAAGGGATGAGGGAGCTGTGGGCACAGCCCAACCAATCCTACTCCTTTAGATGCTGGTACAAACTTAAAAAGAATAGTAAAGTATTTTGACATCTCAGAAGAAAAGCATTTCACAGATGCAAACTATAAGCTTAGTCCTTGTTTAAAAAAGAAAGCAACAACAGTGACTATGTCTTCATCTTCCATTTTAAAAAAAATTATAAATGACCTTTGCCCTTCTATCCTTTCATTAAAAAAAGAACTCAAAGAAACAAGCATTTAACTGATTTATGTAAGTGTATGTACTTCCTCTTCTGAGATGTTAAGCAGGTAGCAAAACCTCAAAGGATAGACAAGAAAAGCATGAAGAGACGCAGTATGTAGCAGTCTGTAAAAGGAAGGGCCCTTGACTTGGGAGCAGCACTCTGTGTACAACACTCCATGTACTGCTTGTTCTCTCCCCGGAAGCCATTATTTTGTCAGTCCAGGCATACAGCAGGCTAATACATCATACTCTGGAGTTGCTCTGGGACATGTGGTGTCACAGCACATCTCAGAGGTGGCTTTCTATGGAATCCCTCTTCAAGTCAAGGGCTGTACTTAGAATGGTCAAAAGAACACATCTTAATTCTGTGGGTTTTCCCCTGTAACTATGGAGTAGAGATTTCTTTTATGTGTTCTTAGTAAGTTTCTACACAATTTTATGATATATCCTGGTTACTGATACATTTAAATTCTTCCCATCTATCTATCCATCTATCCATCTATCCATCCATCCATCCATCCATCCATCCATCCATCCGCCCAGCCACCCACCCACCGTGTATGATGCATGTGTACATGTGCCACAGCACAGTGTGGAGGGCAGAGGTGAGTTTTCAGGAAAGCATTCTCTCCTTCCATTTGAGTCCCAGGGAGTGAACTTAGACCATCAGGCTTGACAGCACATATCATTACCTACAGAATGATCTTGTCATAAAAACGAGACAGGTCCCATTTGAGGTAAAAGGAAACCATTTAGAAACATTTATGGTAAATCTATAACATTCTCATATACCTGTGATGTTCTTTGAGAATTCTAAAATTTAGAAATCTGGAGTTATAATAATTTTTCTTACATTTATATATCTGTTTTTGTTGTTCTGTCTTCTTTGTTTGTTTTGACACAGTCTAGCCTCAAACCCAGAGATCTTCCAGGTGTGACAGCCAGGTATACATTTCTATTGAGTTTTAACATGTCATAGCTATCTGTCACTGGCCACTGACATTATCTAAAGTTTTCTCTTCAGCAAATCAACAAGAAGCTGGGCAGTGGTGGCGCACGCCTTTAATCCCAGCTCTCAGGAGGCAGAAGCAGACAGATCTCTGAATTCAAGGCCAGCCTGGTCTACAAGGTGAGTTCCAGGACAGCCAGGCCTACAGAGAGAAATCCAGTCTTGAAAAACAAACCAACAAACACCACCAACAAAACAAGACAAGAAAGAAAACAAGAACAGCAACAGCAATGACAACAAATCCAGGGCTCGGCAGGAAAAGGGGCTGGCCACCAAGTCTGACTACCAGAGCACAACCCCACATTACAGGAGAGAATCAACTTCTGAGAGCTGTTCTCTTAGTGCTGTGGCATGTGGATACACACAAAAAATAAATGTTTTACAATTTTACCACCTCTCCATAATTGCTATTACTCCTATGCAAGAGCTGAGGGTGGCAGCACAGGTCTGTAATCACAGTTATTCAGAAGGCTTAGGCAGCTCAAGCACATGAACAAAGTCTATGTGGGCTGCAGAGTGAGTTCAAGGCCAACCTGGGCAACTTAGGAAGAGCTCACCTCAGAATAAAAAGTAAAAAGAAGTCAGGGCATACAGCTCTGTGGAGCACTTGCTTAACATGTGCAAGACCCTTGCTTTGATTCCCAGGATGGGGGACAGGTGAGAGGAAAGAAGTAGACAGAGAAGTCAGGGTGCTCACATGTACGTTTACTAGCTTTGTGGTAAGATCTGCCTTACAGCATGTGTGCTAATATCTACTGCCCAGGGAAATGTTAATTGTGACTTGTCAAATACTTGTGAATAACTGGGACTGTATGTCACCCTGGCCAATGTGAAGAAACTGTTCTATACACAGAGCCTGGAAGGAGAGGCCCAGTGAAAGAGGCCTAACTGGTTCCATGACACACAGGGAGAGTCCTGCAAGCACACTTCAGGAGCTTGTCCGGAGCGTGAGTGGGAAAACATGTGAATGTGTGCTATGGAGGCAAGCAGTGATTCCTGGGCTCCAGTTAAGAAGCTTCTAGAAAGATGAGTTCTGAGAAGCTGATGGTACACACACACACACACACACACACAGTTTCAACAGTGACAACTTATTGTTATGGTGAGTGCTTCAAAGTCTTAACTTAAAAGTCCTTACCTGAAATTCACCCACGGGCTTGTTCCCAGTTAACATCCTTAGTGCTGACAGGCCAGAACATGGCTATTGATAACTAGAGCTGACTGAATTGTTCATGGGTCTGAGTTCTAATTTTCACTCTTCTACCCATGACACTTGGGCAAGTAGCCAGTATCCACTAGTAAGAGTTACATGGATAATTGGGAGGAAATACATTATTTAAAATGCCAGTGCCCTTCCTCTTTTTCTCTTTCTTCAGTTACAAGGGCATGTGCTGAGGTCGGCGCTTATCAGTGCAGTAAAGTTCACTTAGTTCCTCTGAGCCAGGAAATTCAACTCAAATGCAAAGCAATGCTTTAATTCCTCTCCCACTCCTGGGCAGAACAGCCTCTCAACACCAGATCCCTGGAAGCAGCATTCTGCTGCCTCTCCAGAGACAGGCCCACATTCTTGCTTAGGTATAAAGGATAACTTGTTTATAACTGAAGAGACTGCTTAGGGCTGCCTTTTGCTCTGTTCTATTGTAACATAAGCATTCTGCAGAGTGCACAGACAATGGTCTGGTTAACTTTCTGACAATTAAGTCAGTTCTGTCTAGGTGACTTCATTTTCCTCAGTCGGTTCCTCAGTGGGAAACGTTCCTTCAGTTCCTTCTTGTAAGTAGCCTGCTGTGAAATAAGATGTTTGACCTCTTCAGCTTTACTGTCTGCTGTGTTCACCAACAAACGGCTCAAGAAAATACTGATTTGCTTTGTTTCTTGATATCCTAGGTGATTGGAGGGTGAATGAAAAAACAAAACAAAACAAAAAAACCCACTGGTTAAGCCCAGGCAGAAAAAGCTTTGGGTATCCTGGGCAGGGGTAGAGTAGCTCACTGCTATAGGAGACTTAAAGCCAACTTTTCTTTCTGATGTCACTCAAACTAAGCACATTTCAACTGTTAGGCTGACTTTACTTCCCACTGTAGAATGCTGTCTGCCAATCCTCAGAGAGACTACTGAGTAAATCTAGAGATAAGTGAAGTGGCAGTGTGCCTAAATGGTCTCAGGGGAGCAGTAAACAAGGAGGTGTCATGAGAGGCAAGTACAGCACAGACCAGGAGATGAACACCAAAGGGTCTCCCACAGAGGAGGGCAGAGACTGACTTCCAAGACACAGAGTTTAGAGACCCCAGTGGAATCTCAGACACTCCAGAGACTGGGACTGTGGCTACCTACGTTCTAGGAATGGCCTGATTATCTTATATCTGGCCTCTAAATAGTTTTCTTTTTAAAGCATAATAGTTACATTTAGTTCACTCCCTAGGGTCTAGATATCTCATCTCTACAAAATAACATTAAGTATTTCAAAAACAGTGTGAATCTTTACCCAATTTGCAAGTTAACACACAAATATATTATCTCATATATTTTAATCAGGAAGTCTTAGAAGGAACTCTTTAAGTGTTTTTGTTTTAGAACATTTTGCTCTGCCTTTCACTCAGACAAATGAAAGATGTCCATTAAGATGAGTCTCTGGTATGTTTGAACTAGATAAAAATTGTTCGGTGAAGGGATTACTTTCACAGCTTTAATGGCTCAGGTGGAGGCAGTAGATACTGGGAATGGGATCCTGGAGCAGAAGAGACTTAAAGCTACTGAGAAACCAATAAGAACCCAGTGAAAAGATTGACTAGCTGGATAAAATATGGTTTGAAAAATGTCCCAAATTAAGAAGTAGGCTCCTTCCTTTCATGCCTCTTTAAATACTCCTTAATAGCCCCCTGCTCAGGCCTGATTCTAATAAGAGAACAGAGTGAATATTGCTATTAATTTAGATGTCAAGCCTAGAAAGGGACAGGAACCAGGATGGTTTTGATTTCTGAAATGAGGAGGGCCTTCAAAACACCAGAGGCTAGATTAGGATATCCCCACAAAAGCTTTTAACTTGAAAGTTATCAAGATTCAGAAAGGCACATAATTAAAACCAAACTCGTTCTACCAAGTTTAAAATAAAGCCATGGCTAAGGAAAGCTAGGCCCAAGGGAAAGGAACAGAGCAAATCACATGTCCACTGCCAAGGTTGAAGCTGCTTTAACTCATGTTCCTTTGGAGTCAGGGTCTGACCCCACAGTGATGGGAAAAAAAATCTCCTATTTTCATTTCCCAAAGAAGAACTAAG